TTACCTTACATGCACGACAAACGAAATAACTACAAAGACCGTCGTCGATCATGGTGGTTTAGGGGTTGATAGGCACGTCGTAGGTGGCAAATTCCAAGGTGCATGACGATACTGCCCCGTCCCCCTGTGTTACACATATGCTGCAGAACATGTTTTGACTTAATCAAATATTTGGAAAATCAGATAGCCTATAATGAGCAGCCGATAGAGCGCAATGAGGTGTGTACTTTGTTTTAGTTTTATCAGTTAATAGACAGGCCCTGGCCCACTTCCTCCACTGAGGCCATCATTTATAAATACATACACGTAAACACTCTGTACAATAAAGGTGTCACCCCTACTGAACAAATACTTTGGGAGAGATAAGTAACTATGGAATGATATGCTCCTGGCATCATTTTATTAACATCAAATTTCACAAAAAGACCAACAATACAATTCCATGGTACAGCGGTTTTATACTCATAGTCACGTTATAAGTATAACTTTGATTATTCTGATTCAGAGGGAGACATTTCTATTGTCCGGTTTGTGTATATACCCTAGTAGAAGGGTAATGTGAATTGGTTTTGATAACAAGCACTCCACGCCGCACCATTTTGTCAGAACACGAAATTGAAAATAAAAAATTAGTTGTGTCCACGGTGAAACAGCTGAAGTTATTTTAAAGTGCTGGTTTAACAGAACTTACCTTTAAGTATCTGTATATGAAAACGAATGACCATCACAAGGAGAATACCACATACAAATATCATTTAGTAATAAGACATTATACTCCCATTTCCAAAACTTTAAATTGCACATGTGCTGTTTCTGCTTCTTTTTAGAATATTATTATTTTTTTAAATTTTGCATGTATGACAATCGCCAAAATGAAAGACTGGTGGGTGGGGTGGGTGGGAGTGTAAGGAAGATGAGTTAATATGGCTGAAGACATCCGAGATTTGGCCTTGTTTTGTAGTTAAATACGCAGTTTTTTATACTGTTAATGTTGCAGTTCTCATCCCGTCTTTTTAAGATGTTGCGGAGGTTATCAGATCAGTTATTGCGGTAGAGGAGAACAGCGAAAACAATGGCGGAGATCACGCCAGGCTTTTTGACTGGAGGCGTTAAAAATACTATTTTGCATGTAGTTATAACCTCACAAGTTCGATGAATAAAAAGGTTAACCCCTATTTAGTTTTACTTTTTTCATTTAATTTTTGTGAATTTTTCTGTGAATTTACCTGATAAAGGAGGTCATGGATAGAGGTTAAGTATACTCTCAATTCGTAAACATACTGTATGTAAACTGATTTTAATTACATTTTTCCTAGTGGATAAAACCTTCGTCCCCTGAGAATAGATACGCCAGAACCGTAACAAATATTACCTATATCGCTATGATATGTGCTAGACAGACTACGATATGATATGATATAATATTATAACACGCTATTCACGTTATGATACGCGCTATTCAGCCTCAATTTCCAGTACACCATACACGTCAAATAATGAATTAATTAAATAATTAAAATAAATGAAAATTAAATAAAATTAATAAAATAAAGATAAAAACAAATAATGGGAATTTTCTTTGATATGTTTTATTCCACAATGTATACAATTGCATAATGAGTAAATTAAGTCTCTTGAGAATTGTTCAGCCAAAAACTTCAGATCATATCTTCCTCAGGCTGGTATCGATTTGTACAACTTACCATCTTTCTCTCTCTCTCTCTCTCTCTCTCTGTGTGTGTGCGTGTGTGTGTGTGTGTGTGTGTGTGTGTGCGCCTTATCCGTCATCATGAGAACTGAAAACACAGTTCTCCACCCTGCTCTGTCTCTAGCAGCTGTCAGAAACTCAACCTCACCCAAACCCACGCACTTGCTCAAAACATTATTGTGTCGCGAAGTATATACGTATACTGACTTAATTGTTTTTTTTTTAATTTTGATGTTTATTATTTTGTAAGTCAAACATAATAATCTTTCTTTTTATTGCTACTTTGTATATCGACCTTTAGGCCATTTTACCAGGGAATACCAGTGTTTATCAGACGCATTGAAAGAAGTTTAATTTGATGTTGTTAACTCACACATAATATTGTCTTCTCTACATTTTCTTAAGCCCCACTTTAAATATACCAAATCACATAAGTGTGTCCTGCTGTAAATCGTGCAGATTTTAATATTACTTCTTTTGCGTGCAAAACTCTATTTAAAGGTGAAACACCAAGATGCTTTGTTTTTGTGATAGTTTTTATGTAATGAATGTATGGAGAAAAACCCTGTGAATACGCAATCTTGATCATGTTTTATTCAGAAAGTCATTTTGGAAACAAAGAGACATGGTAAATGGCAGACGACATTGGTATATTCGTGTCTCTCTGGAGGCTGAATTGCATTAACGGCTCTCTCAATCACTATTTACTCCACTGGCGCGCTATTTTCCAGGAGATTAGATTTAAATCTGTGACTCAATATCTAGTAATTTTAATTTTCCTAAACGTTATTTAAATCTTTAAAATAATTTTACATGAATGATCTTCGTCCTGGTCAGTGTACCTTTAAGAAAACTCATTTGTCGAATTAATATAATTTGTGTGAATGCTTCACATGGGGAAGAACTTATTATCTTATTCATATGGTGAATGTTACATTTTTATAACAGATGAAGTTAAAATGCTGTTAAAATGGCAAATTATCCTAAACAATGGAAAGCAAGCCAGTATAATTTTACAAAAAAAAGCCCACTGACCTTTTCGTCTTAAGTGAAGCGTGGGTAGACTATAAATTTCGTGAGGTAAAATGAATGAATGAATAAAAGACTTAACCACAATTTATATAGTTGCACAATAATGCTTCATTATTATCACGCTTATCAAAATTAGTACATCTTTCCCAGATTTTTTTCAATTTTAAGCCAGATTTTCTCTTCGTGTATGGATCAAAGAGCAGCCCCATTCAGCTAAAGAAAGGGAAACCGCTGTTCTCATTGTCTCTGCGTCTTCTCTGCATGCGCAACATGAAGAGTGCTTTAATCTTTTTGCACGCTTGCCAACACAATCAGATTTGACCTTCGAGCAATTTTTTTATTTGTTTTTGTACACACCGCAGAGCCAAACAACAACTACCCCCAGCATTCATTCTAGCAGTATGATGAATACAAAACCAACACCAACGCTGGGAACAGTGTAGTTCCATGGTGACGTTCTCGTCACCATTTTTCTCTTGTCACAAGGCAGTTGTTTCTTTGGAGCCACGTCTCCTAAGGGCAATCAATATTGATGATTAAAATAATATATATTTTAAAAGATTCATTGCGTAACCTTACCATCAAGGTTTAATGCATTGTCTTCACACAGGTTGATGGATGATCTTTCTAAAGTAGGAGACAGTGACAGCCCGACAGACTGGCTTGGTACTGCCGTGGTAAGGCACTGGTTTCACGTGACAATTAATGACTACAGGCAGCTTGCCACGTATTTTTTTCACACCTCCACAGTGAGATGTTTTACGGGTGAAACACTGGTCTGTCCGTCCAGTTATCTCGGTACACCTACCTGTAAGCCATTAGACTTATTTATTGGTAGAATCTAAGTCAAAAGCCAATGCCAGCAAGAGGTCGGTGCAGCTATTTGAAAACTTTCTCAATGAAGAAGATAGTTCTGTTGTAAATCGAGCACTTGTGCCACGCAAATTCTCATTCTCCGTTTTTTATGTATTAAGCAAACAAAATAATCAAGACTGCTTATGGTTTAGTTTTAGTCAAGTTACTTGTTTTAATACAGTCCACGCGTTGGGGTGTTTTATGTCCATGAGCAAAGCACTTATTAACTCTAACTCCTTGAACTGTCCGTGGTAATGTGGAGAAGGTGGCCTTAGGTATTACTTTCACCAACTGCTCAATTTGGTATTCTGGTGTTTTGCGGCAAATAATTTATGCCTACAGGTGAACATTGAGTGAGACAGAACATTACGGATCTTCTCACGCAAACTTACCCATCCTATTAGCTTCAACATCATGTAATCGGTGTGGAAAGAGATACGTTCGTTTATAAAAGATGTGGGTGGAGCTATAGGTGTAGGGCTGAAGGGTTTTCAAACCAACACAGGGCGACAAAGGTTTGAATTCGATTGAATCTTTCGAGCATACTTGTGAGCCAGTGCCTTCCCTCTGTCAACCCATCCACCAAACCCCCCCCCCCCACCACCCACCCACCCGCCCGATTCCTGACTGGGCCTTTCAGTAGATAGTCTTACAAAGATCTTTGCCAAGACGGAGCTGGTCGCGACCCATTTCAGCAATAGGTCTGGGACAGAGAAACTTGTGACGTGTCACAACGTCAAAACACAGTGATGTAAAGAGACATATAGTAGGTGTTACTGGATAAAACACGCAATTTTTTTTTCACTGCTTGGAACGTTCTTAAAGGTAAAAGCAGCGATTTCATGGCACGTGTACCTTAAATACGTCAAGTCAGCTGATCTCTTGGATATTAGCATCATTACTCTTTTTGGCACAAACTGCAAAATTACCCATGGACCATCTTCATCAGTCGCTGAGTAACACAGGTGACGTTGTTTCACATAGCTGGGAGTATTTGGCGCTGCCAACCCTCCTTCAGTGAAGCAGCTGGTCCATCTTAAAATCTCATGTAGTTTTAAACTTTGTGAAATTCACTTTTTTGAATTCATTTTTGTTAAAAATGTTCATATTCTGTTTGGTCGAAATGTAATGCTAGTTCAAGTTTTTTTTTT